ATTCACTGTTTGCCCAGCCCTGACGCCTCCGGGAGCACGCTGCAGCCAGGGAAGTGGCCCCAGGTGTCCCCACACCCTCAGTGCCACCTCCCTTCTCCCTTAGCCCCATCTCACCCAGCCTCCACACTCCATCTACTCTGAACCCCTTTCCTCTCGGGCACAAGGTGCATGTCTGCCACAGTGATTGCTTACTGGCTGTTCCTCTGCCCCCTCCCATCCTTGAAGGGACCCCATATCTCATTCCCTCTGGGACCAACCTTCAGCACCTGAACTCCCTCAGCCTGGACAGATTTCTAAACCACCCTACCCTAGCCAGTCTAGTAAAGCCCGAGACCCTACGTCCTCCAGACCTGGATCCCACCAGACTCAGGCCCCCTCCTGGCAAGAGCCCAGCCCCTCGTCCACCTTGTGTATTCTTCTACTCCTTTCTGTCTCTCTGTCTCTCTCGCTCAACCTGTGTCATTTCCCTAGAAGTCCCCCTGACAGCTGGCGCTCCCAGAAAGACCTTGGCCCACCCTAAAATTGCACCTCCGGGCTTCTCAGAGTCCCTAGACACACCTGTGACATTCTGCCGCAGTTCACCGCAGGCCCTCACCCTTGACCTTCTCAAGCTGTGCTCTGCCGGACACACCCCTACACACCACCCCCAAGCTGCAACCTGCCCACGGCAGGTGACCACCTGCAGAGGTCCCTGGGATCCCGGACCCCGTGGGAGACCCTGGGTGGGAGCCCTTCCTAGGTCCAGAAAGCCCCAGCTGTGGGCCTCTGGCACCCAGGGGCTGACCAGAGCAGGCCAAAAGCCGGCTGGCGCTAGAGGGACCCAGGCAGGAAGGGAGGGGCCCGGCTGAGGGCGGTGCGGCTTCTCCGAGGCTGGGTTGGAACCGGGACCTTCCCCTGGGAGGAGGAGGAGTGGGGAGGAGGAGAAGGGAGAGGCCAGCCAGCCGATGTTCAGAACTGCTCCCAAACCTGAGCCCTTACTGTGTGCTCTCCTGAGCGATGCTCTCTGCGGGTGCTCTTGTTTTCTAAAGGAGGGGGCCGGGGCTCCGAGAGGGGAAGCAGACCCTCCACTGTGGAACAGCCAGTAAGCAATCTCTGTGGCAGACATGCACCTCGTGCCCGAGAGGAAAGGGGAAGAGATTCTGGACAAGGGGCCAGCAGAGCCCTAGAGGGAGGGACAGGGCAAGGACAGAGACCCAGGGAGGGGGGGGCAGTGGCTCAGGGAGAGAGGAGCAATGACCTAGAGAGAGGCAAAGGCAGAGACTTAGAGAGAGATAGGGGCAGAGATCGGGAGAGGGGGGGACAGAGACTCAGAGGGAGTGGGGGGGAACAGAAAGAGAGAGAGAGAATCTTAGAGAGAGGGAGACAGTGAATCAGAGACCTAGAGGAGCAGAGACCAGGGACCCAGAGAGAAAGGGGACCAGGGACCCAAAGAGAAGGGGACAGAAACTCAGAGAACTAGAGGAGCAGAGACCAAGGGAGACTGGGGTAGGGGGTGGGGGGACCCAGAGGGTGACAAAGAGGCAGAGAGGAGAAAACAGAGACCTAGAGAAATAGAGGTCAGAGTCCCAGAGAGGGGGGTGGGGACAGAGACCCAGACCTAGAGGGAAAGGGAGACAGAGACCCAGAAAGGGTGGCCAGGGTGGGTGCCCCCCACCTGCCCCCACCCTGTGGAGCACCACTGTGAGAGTCCCCTCCCCTCCCCCAGTCCTACTTTGTATCCGACTACGATCCCACCATCGAAGACTCCTACACCAAGATCTGCACGGTGGACGG